ACCAATATGCGTCAATTGCAATGAAAATCATCTTGCTAATTACTGAGGTTGCAAAATATATAAGTAAATTAAAACTAAAAATTCCTCCAAACGTTTCAGGAACGTTTCTAAACACATAACGTTATCGAGCAGTTTAAGTGATAACAATAATACCAAAATCATCGAGATAGATAAACAATAATGGAGCGCGTTCTTGCCAACGTTGCCGTGATAAGAAAACGAGCCATGTCTTGATTGTTACCCCCACCACTGCAGGGCAAAAAAATTAGACGCAAACTTACGAACGTACTAGAGAATATTAACGTTTCATAATAATTTGGGTACTTCCACTTGTCAGATTTTAAAAATTTTAAATTATTTGAACTTATTAACAAGCCTAATTTTATACAATGACGTAGTTTCAAATAGAAAAAATAAATAAATACCCAAAACGAATAATTACAATTAATACAATAATATAGACATATATAGTGTTTACTACTTACCAGTCACCTTTAAACATAAACAATTATATTATAATCCAACTTTTATAAATAATATAAACAATTTGATTACTCCTTCAGTCATCCTTTAAAATTAAAAGGAGTGATTATTTTATAAACATTAAAGAATACCTAAGGGTTCATAAAACAAAAAAAACAAACAAACAAACAAATTGAATATATTTAAAACATTAAATTTAAAAATAATATATTTATACGATAAATAATATTATTTATACCTAGGTAGGTATTAATAATAATTTATTATACCACTATTAATAATTATAGAGTACGAGTATTTAAATTAATTGAAAAGTCAGTAACTGTAAAAATAATACATTAAATTAAATAATAGTAGCACATGATATGTATATTATAAACTATACTTAGTGTAGATTTTTTTAAACTAAAATTGAATTTTTAAAAATAGACTAACCTTTTCACGATTTCGAAGTAATGAACGACTAGCTTTTGTTTTTTTAGTAAATGTTGAGGAAATTTGAAAACTGATGAAACAGCTTCATCTTTTAGCAACTTCTTGTCTAATTCTGGGCGAGATTCATTTAAATAATCACTAGGTGTGAAATGCTCACTGCATAAATAGCTGTACTGGTTGGGTGTAAAATTTTTTCGTCGTATTTCATGTAACCATTTTTTTAAAATCTCTGGTATTTTTAGAGGAAATCTAAAATTATAAGAGTAGTGTGTTTATTGAAAATTTTGTGAAGAGATTTTGTTATTTGATAGAAATATGTATTGTACTTACCCAAGGTCATCCCTAGTGTAGGGCGAGCAGGGCCCACATCCTGGGCCCCACGCTCTCACCACAGTTGGATAGGCCTTGCTTTCATAGATTATAGATACAATAAAAAAAAAAAAGTTAAATTGATGAGCAAAAAATAATGTACATATCAATTTTTTTTCATATAAAATTGTTAATTATATAATACATTTATTTACTTATTCATATTGCTGTAAGTGCAAGGTACTATATCTGTTAAGACTATTTACGCACATTTGAGTTCCAATATGCAATTGACGCGCGATAGTAACATTTTCCACATTTAAGGCCCCGCAATTTTACTCTGTCCCGAGCCCCGCAAATCATCAGGACGGCCCTGCACTTACCGATGGAAATGTATCCTATTTTCTTTCTGTCACCTATTATATTCTGTACACCCATACCCTGAGCATGATATAACCATATTTATATTGTTTAATAATTATGCCAATTATGACTATTATTCGTTTTAACTTTTAATGCAACTATAGTTTAAAGTCTAACTCAAACAAAATTTCGAAATACGAAATCCGAATCGTAGTAAATAATATTTTAACTGATATGGCGGTATATTTTCTTGCCCTGCAGTGGTGGGGGGAAGCGACTATAAAATTGGCTCGTTTTCAGTAACAGCGTACGCGCTCCAGTATTGTTTATCTATCTCGATGACCAAAACCCTAGCCAATATTGTCGATCTCATAAATCCCCAAAATCAAGACCCAATCCTAATAACTACAAACTCAAGCAACACTCCAACCTACGCCGAAAAAAACCATAAATAAAACCAATCATCATCAAAAAGAAGAAATTAACAACTCAAATATCACTAAAACGAGTTTATAAAGTTATTGATCCATTAATCAACTCATTCATTTCACAGATTATAAAAAAAAAGTTATCGAAAATCTACCGGCTCTATTAAATAATTTCAATGTCGTCTAATAATATAAATAATATTAAATTAATTATCATAAATTGGAATGCCAATGGAATTAAACAAAACCGTAACACATTCACAGCGTTCTTATCAGCACATAATGTCGATATCGCGTGCATAAGCGAAACACATCTTATTGCTAGTGACACAATTAAATTTAATGGGTACACCACTTATCGCAAAGATAGGTGTGACCTTCAGGTGGTGTAGCTATAATAATTAAAACAAAAATTAAATATCATCAAACTTATCTACCTACATTGCAAACTCTTGAAGCAGTAGCAATATCTATTTCAATAAATCACTCAATCACAACAATAATTAGCGCTTACCAGTCACTTAGCTTTCAAATGTACAGTAATGACTCACAAAATATTAAATAGCTATCAATGAATTTTGCTAGTAGCTGACCTTAACTGCAAACACACAATATGGAACTGCAAAGCTACAAATCCAAACGGACGTAAATTATTCAATTATTTCTCAAACAGTTCCACGATCATGTATGCTCCATATACACCCACCTACTTACCATATAATCACAATAGAAATTCTGATATTTTAGATGTAATTTTACAAAAAGCGATCCGTTTTTTCCATTCATCAAGAACCACTATTTGAACTCAATTTAAACCATTTATCTGTAAAAATCATAATAGATGCGTCTCTATTATTTTCCACTCCAACCCATAAACTCATCACCGGCAAACCAGACTGGGAAAAATTCAAACAATTTATTTTTTATTACCTACTCAAAACCTAATTATTCCTAAAAGTATTTTAAACATTTCCTACGCAGATAATGCAGTAAAACATTTACGTGAAATCATTACCTAGCGGCCGATACATGTTTAGCAAAACAAAACACAATAACAAATTATAGTCCTAATTAACTTCCTTACACAATATTACAATTAATAAAATCAGAACATCTAACGAGGAGAGTCTGGCAACTATAGACTACCACAAGATCGAAAAATATTAAATTATCTAACAAAAAAGGTTAAAAACTCACTCGAAGAACACAGAATTAACTGTTATCAAAAATATTTATTAACAATACACCCAGCAGACTCCAAATTATGGATTGCAACCAAAAGATTAATCAAACCAAATACCAATGAAATCCTCCCTTTGAAATCCTAAACATCTGTTTATCTAAATACAGAAGGCGATAAATGCGAACTGTTTGTTCATACTCTTGAAAATGCTTTCACATTAAATAGCTCATTAACATATTTATCTATCTTATTCAATTCTCTAATAAAAATTGGGTACTTTTCTACAGAATGGAAATTGGCCATAATAATTTTGTTCAAAAAAACCAGGTAAAGATAACTCTATCCCCAGCAATTACAGACCTATCAGCTTTCTTTCCTCAGTTTCAAAAATATTTGAAAAAAATTATTCACACAAGGCTTACCAATTATTTAAATGCAATAAATGCTATCCCGAATTTTCAATTTGGATTTAAATCTAACCATTCCATTGTTCAACAACTTCTGCGCCTAACGGAGCATAAAAATGATGGATTTGAAAAAAAATTACATACAGGTACCGCCTTCTTAGACGTAGTTTAAGCCTTTGATTGTGTCTGGCACGACGGACTTTTATTTAAATTAAAAACATTAAACACTCCAACCGAAATTTACAATCTAATTAATCCTATCTCTTCAATCGCTGCTTTAAAGTTCGAATTAACGATACTACATCGAAAATAAAACAAATTAACGCAGGAGTACCACAAAGGTCAACAATTTTGCCTTTACTTTTTAACTTATACGTTTTGGACTTCCCCACAATGAATAATACTGAAGTAGTATTATTTTTATACTACACTACACTATATTATACTATATTACTATACTACACTACACTATTTTTATACTACACTATACGCTGATGACAGTGATATATACTCAAGTGCTAAAGACGCCGAAATAATAATCCAAAATATTCAAGCTCACTTGAATGAAATTCAAAAATGGGGAGAAAAAATGGCAAATAACATTAAACTCTCCAAAGAGTACAGCTGTACTCTTCATCAACCGTCACCCTAAAACTCCGGGTAACTTAAAATTGTAAGGTAATAGTATTCCCTGGTCACCTAATATCAAATACCTCAGTGTAATTTTGAACAGAAATTTAATATGGAATCAACATATCACTTCCAAACTACAACAAAAATAACAAATAATCTTTGTAATAATTACTAATTATTACGAGAATTACTCATTTATATTATTCTTTGTTTATAAACTTTCATATAAATGTATTTTTATTTGAAGTTAATTACTATTATTTTTGATTTAGTGTTGTTATATTGTAAATATAAAAGATTTGTAAGGGCTCGGAGAAAAAAATTATTTTTAGATATTATTTTATTTTTTTAGGGTTTTTCAAGTTAGATTAGCGTTTCCCGACCTGTGGTATGCGTACCACAAATGGTAAAAAGAAACATTTTTTAAAAGGAAAGTTTTATTTTTATTACTATTTGATATTATTAGGTTTATTTGATATTAGCTGATTTAATAAATATTTACGACATAGGAATAAAATGAACGCAGGAGACAACTTAAGACATAAAATTATGAACATGGAGCCTGGTATTATCGTTCTGATTCATTCAACACAACATAAACTATGTTATTAAATAATTCATTTACATTGATTTTAATTAATTATAACTGTAAATATTTTTTGTTATATTGCTATATGTGCATTAAAAGTTTATGTATTTATATACCTAGTTTAAATGAATAAAATTATAAAGGCTTTATATAATATATAAATGTTATGTAAAATAATTTAATTTTATTTGTTGAAAATTATCAATGATTTTATTGAAATAAAAAAAAAAGATTATTAAATCAAGGGATACGTGAAATTTTCCAAAATGTTTATGTGTTACGCAAATATTCGAAGTAATTTTTTGGTTTCCAGGTTTCCAGTTACAATTACTTAGATAATTTACTCGTTAATCATAGTTTTGTATGATTCTTTAGGCTTTACTTAGTTTTTAATTGTTCCTATAAACTGATCGAGCTTGCTAATTTAATAATTTTTAGTTTTCATTCATTGAGTTTAAATTCGTTCCTTGGATTTCTTTAGAACTTGGATTTTCTTGTTCTTCGTCTTTTTGTAATGGTTTTTTCTGTAGTTCGATCGATCCATTATTCACCGTCTGCGTTGCATCTATAGTAGTTTTTTCATTGATAGGAGATTGAGCCGTTTGTGGATCTTATGAAATACATAATAAGTTAATTACAGCAAAATTAATAACATTTTTACAGGTTTTATTGTTATACAGTTATTATTTTATGTTAAAATTATGCTACCTGTGATTGGTGGTTTTACTAAGCTCTGCATAGCCAGTTGAGTCAATGCAAGAAGCCTTGAATAAGCAGACATCACCAATAAAAGTATTGGTTCTTTGTAGTCGTTATTTAACATTGGTGGTTGTATACGTTGAATCATTACTTCGCGTTGAAATCTAGGACGTATTATTGGTTGCATTATTCCTGGTGGTGGTGGTGGAAGTTGATTCATCAGGTACTGTTTTTTTGCCTCTAAATCTGCTATATTGCGTGATATCGTATTCAAACGATTTCCTATAATATAAAACAATATGAAAAATTATAATGTTATGAAGATTTTCTTTGAATCTTATATTATTTGAAAGAGGAATCAAAATTAGTTTAAAATTAACATAAATGTTTTATTTATAATTTTGAATAATATTGCTTTCATACAAAATTGCTTTAGAAATGTTAAAATTGTTTGATTTGCAATAGATTTATAAATCATCAATACTATTTCAAGTGTACTACCGATTGTAGTTATGATGTAATTTCATCAAAAAAATCTTTCTAAAAATTTAAATCGGCAGATCACAATCTTAATTATTTCTTCTTACTCAATATTTGTATTTTTCATCTTAAAATTATAATTACCATTTAGACCGTAATTTATATCCGCCTCGGTGAATCTGAAACAATTGAAATATCGATAAAGGTTCAGTAATTCGTTACGTAATTATTTATTGGGTGTATCACGCCTGTCATATATTATATGAATAAAGAAATAATTCAGAAATGCAAAATGAAAATCTAGATAACAACAAATAGTGAAATGATTAATGATAAATAAAATGAAAATGTTGTTTATAATATGTTAACAATCTGGCTCGTGATAATCATTCATATTAAATTCATTAAATACTTTTTACGTTCTATTACTTAATAAGGTTACAAATATAAATATTCTAATTGACAAGTTACATACATGTTGAGTAAATTAATTTTAAGTTTGCCGAATTTCATTCCAGAAATTAAAAACCATTGCGTAGTTTATAATTGTCTATAATAATATAGGTTGGAAGATACTTACATTGGAATTAATGCAATGCATAAGAAAAATGTTATGGAAAACATTTTATTTCTTCTAAAATAATACTTGGAAACAAAGCTAACACATGAATTATATTTTATGATAACTTTGAATGTTGAATGTCATATTTATAGAACTAAAAATGTGCTTGAATTTTGAATTCATAAATTTCAAAAGTTGAAGTCGACATTAAAAAAATGTTATTCCATTATTATTTAAATATTACAGTTCTGCTAAACAATTACATCGACATTGAATAGCAAAAAAACGAACAATGCTACTAATTTTCCTTATTATTCACTAGGCATTTGTTGGATTATTTTTTATTTTTCATTTTTATCAACTAGACCTGTGCTTAGTAACATTTATGTTTTTATTTTTCTGTGGAACACTAATCTGAGTGGTGTTCTTTGACACATTTGACGTAATGAGAATTATGGTGGCAGTGTTTATTTTTATGTCCATATGGTTGACAGTTGTGACATTGTTTTAAGCCGCGTTTGTTGTGGGTTTTCTCAATAATTACAATCGTATTAAGTAATGATATTCTTGATTATTATAACTTAATAATAATTATACTATATTATACTATAGATGTCGTTAGTATTATTCTCAGGTATAAGATCCACAGAGAATAATGAAAGGGAACATTTTTAAACATTAAAAACGTGTTTTAATGAAAGAAAGTTTTTCGAACTGAGCAGCAGAAATTAACAATTTACAACAAATCTTATTTAACATTAACTATAATAAAAATGCAGAAGAATCTTATTAGGCTCTAATTAGAGTAGAAAAATATACATCATTTCTTTATTGGGATTGTTTTTAAGCACTCAAATGTCAAATTCATGGTAATTTATGTATCGTTTGTTTTTATTCATTTTTCATATAAATCAAATATATAAATCAATCATAATATGTACCTATTTTTGTAATATAGATTTACGGCCACTTTTCATGACAAAAGTAATATAATTCATGGGTGGCATGGTTATTTTTACTCAATAGACTGAAGACGGCTGACTTTTCCCGAGACCGATGGGACCCCTTTTAACAGTTAATACTGAGTTATTATGATGTCATTTTTCAAAATTTTTATTTTTATATTCTTCTAAATTCCATGAATTTGTTATCGAATGCGATATTTTACAAAATTATTTTTCCGATCTTGAAAATCAAAATTTTTTTAATTGGGATAAATGAAAAAATAATATGTTAATTTTAAGTTAATCTGAAAGGAAATGAGTTAAGTTAGGTTAGACGTTTGAATGGCCGCCGTCAGTACGACTCAGTACGGGGCTGGTAGTCGTCGGTTGGACGCATGAAGTTCCAAGCGACTACCTACCGGAGCGACCCGACTGACGTTCGTCCACCCCTGCGGTTACAGATTAAAGCTCTGGTTGGCTTAAGCGAGTTTCCCCACTTGGTGCTTAATTGACTATCGACCCCTGTCCAGTCGAAGAGTCGCACGTTGCTATGTTGAGGTTTGAGTTCAGGGAACGGCCGAATCTCTACTCATTAATAGCGCTAAATACTGAGTTTTCTTATCTACGCATTTATACCATTGACATTGATCGCTGGCCCGATCCGCCTAGATGGGAGACTCTTCAAATCAAGTTTTGATACAAGCTTCCCCGAGCTCCCTGGACTTTCCTCGGTTCTGGATTCCGTAGTACTTACCCGAGTCAGTTTCGAGGGTGACCGGGGCTCCTTCTACGCGTCCTTTACGGGTTTCAGCCCAAAGAAAGTTTAGTTTGAGTGCCCAATTGGCCCGAGCGTCAGTCATCAGCTGCTCGCTGAGAGTCAGCCGTCGGTGCGAACAGGTAGAATCTCCCTCCGGTTTCAGGCACGTGACGGCCAGCCGTCGTATTCTGACCGGGTTGCGGAAATCTTCCGTCCATTTTGCTGCTCTTTTCTCGAGAACTTCCTTACAGAAAGTCTCAAATTTCTTGTATATGGGCTCGGATCGCGTCATCTCTTCCAACTCACACAGCCAGTTCGCAGTGACCGTGCTCACCTCGAGGCGAAGGTTTTGTTTTATACAACTCTTACAGTGCTTATCTAGGAAAAATCAATTCAAATGACTCAAGTCTTTGGTTAGCTATAAAAAGAATACTTAAGCAGCGCAATGTAATACCTCCATTAAAAAACGGAATAGTTAAATATGACAAATACAAAAAAGTCCGAAGTCTTTGCCAACTACTTCGAATCATGCTTCACCACGGACGATGGCACTCATCATCAAAACGAACACTTAGAAGAAATGTCGAATAAAACTAATAACGAGCATAACACCATTATCGCACCAACATTCCCTAAGGAAATACAATTAATCATATCAAAATTAGCAAGCAGAAAAAGTCCCGGCCATGACTTAATAACAAACAAAATTTTGAAAAAACCTTACATCAAAAGCATTAACATACCTAGCCTCTCTATTTAATTCAATCATGCGTATAGGTACCTGCCCCCTTACATGGATATATGGATATGGAATGGTCCAAATACATAAACTTGGAAAACAAGCAAACTCTTCCAAAAGTTACAGACCAATCAGCCAATTACAACTCTAAACGAATCTAAACTATATGAAAGGATTTTACCGAATAGGATAAAACCATTCTTACACATAATCCCAAAATACCAATTTGGCTTCAAAATACGGCATTCCACATGCCACCAGATCCAACGTATATCAGAAATAATTGTACACGGTTTCGAAAATAAAAGCAGTCTTCCTCGATTTAACACAAGCCTTTGATAAGATCTGGCCTCTTGGGTTTGAAATAAAACTGAAAGCACTTAATCTTCCTATATACCTGTTAAAAACCATCACATCATTCATAACATTCCAAGTGAGAATAGACACAGACTTCTCTCTACAACACAAAATCAAATCTGGAGTTCCATAAGGATCAGTATTGGGGCCAACTCTTTTTAACATTTACTGCTATGACTTTCCCAATCCTTCTGACTCTCAATTGGCAATGTTTACAGACGATACGACAATCCTCATGTAAGATAGCGTATTAGACTTATCAATCAAAAACTACAATCTTCATTAAACAAAATTACCTCCAAGTTCAAAAAAATAGAAGCTGAAACTAAATCCGACTAAAAGTATGGCTAAAATATTCACCTTAAAAAGATATAACGATTCAAGAAATATTAATATAAACAACTAGATCATACAATGGAATAGAAAAGATGACTCAGTCAAATACCTTGGTGTTTTTCTCAATAACAAATTCACATGGAATATTCATATAAACAAAAAACTCACTCAGGGATATGCCAGGATGAGAATTCTCTACCCCTTAGTGAATTACAAATCAACTCTCCAAATTAAATCATTTTTTCCTTGTCTACACCATAATAATCAGACCACTGATATTTTATGCCTATTCTGTATGGGCTGCTGCTTCTATAACTAAAATAAATAAAATCCAAATCGTACAAAATAAATTCTTAAGGATATGTCTCAAAACACCGTGGTTCATAAGAAATCGTCAGATCCATAATGAAACGGGAATACCCCTGATAAATACATGAATTAAAACCCAATTTAAAAACTTTCATGCCAAACTAAAAAACTTGGACAGTGCTCGTCATTACAATATAGAAAGAAAAACACTCAATAGACATCTGCGGCCTCGACTTCCTCAGGACATTATCTTAACAAATATATATAACTCATCATCAGAAAATTAAGATCATTATTAATATACTAGACCTTAAATTATTATTATATTCATAAATGTTATCACATTATTATATCACCTTCACTGTTAATAATTATGTCATTAATAAATTTATAACAAACAAAATTGTAAAAACTAAAAAGTTGTAGAAGCACTAAACGTGCTGAAACATTTTATAATTATAATAAATGAAAAAAAAAAATTATTTGACGGAAATGTCAATGAGTTTCTTATATCCTTAATAAATTCGATTTCATCAAAAATCGTGTAATTCATAAAACGACCACCGTACCAAGAATTTGTCGGTATTGAAATCTCCATGTATCCGAAAATTCGAGGTACCATTCGCTCCCCTTTATGGATACTAATTGATGGATACAGTTCTTGTGATGCTTAGTCAATTTTATTTTGGTTTTCAGGGATAGCCGCTATAATTCGATTGATGTTGATGAATGTTGAATGATGTGCGTAGAAGTTGGTGGAAGTTGACTATTAATCTCTTTTGCGGGCTGCGATGGTTATTTGTTGTTGACACAACGGCACGGTTTCTTTTCATACAGCCGGAATTAGAAAAATTGTTTTGTACTTACATTTTCACTATTTTTTTTTCTCCTTGACCATGTTCCTTGTGTGCAATCGCCACAGCCACCAAATAATGATGGCGTGTTGTGAATTAATAATCACGCAACGGTCTTGTTTGATGTATACCTAATACAAGCACCGGTCCTAAACGTGTTAGAGGCATAGCTGAATGAATAATACCAGTTTCACCTTGTGGCGTGTAATACAATCGTCCCCGATTGATTGAAAAGTGTGGCTCCATTTAGACGCATCATATGAAACAAATGGCATTTATCACACACTAATATGGTAACCTTGATGTAGATTTCGTGTAAAATTTGAAAGAGTGGTTTAATAGGTTACATGATATAATTTTAAGTATATACAGTGAACTCTCCCTTAATGGACACGTCTGAATCGCGGACACCTCCAAATAACGGACGTTTCTTCGAGATCGGATTCATTTTTACTTATTTTCTATAGAGAAACATCTAAGTACGGAGTATTCTAAATGACAAACACTTTTACCACATTTAAATTTTTGGAATTGAGCATTTTTATTGTTAATTAAGAATAATTATGGAATACCTAAATAAAAGAGTACACCACTGTTTCTCATCCTTTTTTTTATTCACGTACCCCTCGACTTCACGCCACTGATATACGTACTCTAGGGTGAACATATTTATGAAAAAGAAAGCGGGTTAAATATGTTCTTTAAAAAAAGACCACATTTTTTAAACTTTTTTTTTAATTTTTTTTTCTTTTTCTCATATATTATATGAAATAAAAATAAGTTTTATTTAGTTTAATATTTGAATAAAACATTGATTTGCATTCTTTTTTT